CCACCTGATAGAATGGGTGGGTGGTTGTACTTTAGGCCGAGCATAACTTTTCGATCCAGAGGAGTTAGCCAGGTTAGCAAAATAGTAAAAAGCCCAGTAGCACCTTTTAAGACTAACAAACTTTATCGTAGCATAAGCTTTCGAGAAACACAGCTCTCTTTGTCAGATGCATGGACGAAGAGAGCTGTGTTTCTCGAAAGCTTGTGCTACAATAAAGTTTGTTAGTCCTATGCCAGATGCCAGTTTTGTAGAGCAATGCTCCCTCTAAGCTGTGGAGTCTTGTGAGCAAAAATTCTACTTGGTGAGCTACTGGCATTAAAGTTGTGAGCGAGCGATTTGGCTGCTGGATAACTTAGTTTTTTCTGGAGCCATGCTTCCTGAGCTAACACAAAAAAGTGTGAGCTGGAGGCTAAAAAACTGTGAGCTAGCTCACACTAACTCAGCTTAGAGTGAACACTGGTGTAGAGCCAGTTTGGTGTCGTGGTTAAGTGCGTGGACTCTAATCTGGGAGAACCGGGTTCGATTCCCCACTCTTCCACTCGCAGAGTCTGGATGATCTTGGGCAAGCCATAGTTCTGATAAGAGCTGTTCTTGAAAAAGAGCAGTTTCTGTCCGAGCTCTCTCAGCCCCACCTGCCTCACAGGGTATCTGTTGTGGGGAGGGGGAAGGGAAAGGAGTTTGTAAGCCGCTCTGAGGCTCCTTTAGGTAGTGAAGGGAGGGGTATAAATCCAATCTCCTCCTCCTCCTCTTCCTCTAGGTGCTATTGGGCTTTTTACTATTTTATAACGTTTAGGAGAACTTGTCTATGGGATGTCTTGTGGGCCACGGACAGGTACAGGTAAAATGGCTTTAAAACGGATTAAAGGAGTCTGAGAAAGGAGAGGTCTGACTTGCTAGCAAAGTTTAGCTGAAACTAGAACTTCCATATACAGAGGCAGTATACCTTTGATTTCTCTATCAATCCGGGTGGCTGTTGCCATCCTGTGTTTCCTTGGGGAGACTCCGGGCCACAGGTCCCGACACAGACAATGTCTGAAAAATAACCAAAACGTGTTAAGATGGTGAAGGACTCCTTCATCCTGCCGTAAACGCTGCGTATCAGTTTCCTACCCATGGGGCCCCTCGACCCGGGGCAGCATGAACCGCGTCCAGGTCAGGAAGCCTGGAAGTAGGAAACAGCTCCGAAAGGCGTAGGAAGTGGGCTTTTTAAAAAACTTCCTGTATTTTAGACCAATTTCTCTTGCCCCTCCATCGCCCGCAGTCGAGCAGATTTTTGAAACGATGCGAAAACCTGCTTACCCGAGGAGAGAAAGTGGGATGTGTGAAGCACAGCCGCAAGAAACAGCCAAAGGCAAAAAAAGCAGCATCGGCATGGGAAATTTTAAAAAAATAATCTCATTGTCAAGCTGCCTCCAGTACCCTGGGGGGAAAAATAGATACGCCTATTTTTGTATCGTTTGTCCGTGCAGAGATGAGGATCAAGACATTAAGCTTGCGGGGTATAAATATAATAGATAAATAAATTAATGGGGGGGGGTTAAGGCTCACCAATAGGGATATTGGAGGAGTTGGCTTCAGGCAGACCAGGCATGGCTGTCGGTGGCAGGGTTCCCTCTAAGATGAGTTAGTGTGAGCTGGCTCACAGTCTTTTAGCCTCCAGCTCACACATTTTTTTGTCTTAGCTCAGGAAGGAAGGCTCTAGAGCACACTAATTTATGCAGCAGCCAAATTGCTCGCTCACAACTTGAATGCCAGTAGCTCACAAAGTAGAATTTTTGCTCACAAGACTCCACAGCTTAGGACGGACAAAAGGAAATTCTTCTTTACGCAACGAGTGATTCAAATGTGGACTCTGCTGGAAAAGGGTGTAGCGATGGCCACAGAGATAAGACCTCTTTAAACGGGGATTTGGCAGATTCATGGAGGAGAGGTCCATCGGGTCTAGTAGCCATGGTGACTGAAGGGAACCTCCATGTTCAGAGGCACCAAACCTGTGAATCGAGGCAGGAGGCAGCCTCAGGGGAAGGCCTCGGCCTCTCTGCCCTGCTGTTGATCCTCCAGAGGAACTGGTCGGCCACTGTGTGAGACTGGATGCTGGACTGGATGGACCCTCCCTGGTCTGATCCAGCAGGGCTCTTCTGATGTCCTTATCAGGGGAAGGCCTCGGCCTCTCTGCCCTGTTGTTGGCCCTCCAGAGGAACTGGTTGGCCACTGTGTGAGACGGGATGCTGGACTAGATGGACCCTCACTGGTCTGATCCAGCAGGGCTCTTCTGATGTCCTTATCAGGGGAAGGCCTCGGCCTCTCTGCCCTGTTGTTGGCCCTCCAGAGGAACTGGTTGGCCACTGTTTGAGACGGGATGCTGGACTAGAAAGGCCCTCACTGGTCTGATCCAGCAGGGCTCTTCTGATGTCCTTACCAGGGGAAGGCCTCGGCCTCTCTGCCCTGTTGTTGGCCCTCCAGAGGAACTGGTTGGCCACTGTTTGAGACGGGATGCTGGACTAGAAAGGCCCTCACTGGTCTGATCCAGCAGGGCTCTTCTGATGTCCTTACCAGGGGAAGGCCTTGGCCTCTCTGCCCTGCTGTTGGCCCTCCAGAGGAACTGGTTGGCCACTGTGTGAGACGGGAGGCTGGACTAGATGGGCCCTCCCCTCACTGGTCTGACCCAGCAGGGCTCTTCTGGTGTCCTTATCAGGGGAAGGCCTTGGCCTCTGTGCCCTGTTGTTGGCCCTCCAGAGGAACCGGTTGGCCACTCTGTGAGGCAGGATGCTGGACTAGATGGGCCCTCACTGGTCTGATCCAGCAGGGCTCTGCTGATGTTCTTATGGATCTCTGCATCTGTGTAACTGGCGACAAACCCCTGGGAAGGCCTTCCACATGTTTGGATATAATTCTTAGTGTACAATCTGGGTTTTTTTTTGTAAAAGTACTTTGGTAAATATTAACTTATGAAGCCTCTTGACTTGAGCTGTGTGCGATGATGCCAAGTTTTGCCTGCTGCATCGCTTGTGGCTTTGTGATGAGGGTGCTCGGGTGGTGAGTCGCAAGGAAGCGCATACGCACGAAGCTCCCTCATCCTGAATCAGACCCTTGGTCCGTCAAGGTCAGTATCGCCTACTCAGACTGGCAGCCGCTCTCCAGGGTCTCAGGCGGAGGTCTTTCCCATCCCCTCCTGCCTGGTCTTTACCGGAGATGCCGGGGATTGACCCTGGGACCTTCTGCGTGCCAAGTAGAGGCTCTACCGCTGAGCCGCTGCTTCCGTGAAATGCCGCCCTCTTACTAGCTCTTCCAGACAGAGCTAGGTTCCGTAGCAGTCGTACCACTTTCTCCCCCTCAGGACGAGGACAGCTCCGCTTACACAGCTCAGGCACGCTTTCTGCTCTGGTGTTTTAGCACCGTACTTTAGGGGAATTTGGCGGCTGCGGCCAGGCCTCCCTGAGACTGTCCTTGAACCTGGGCTCTGTTACGAAAGACCCGATTCCCAGCCGTATCTGCTTGGCTGCTCTAGTGACGGCGTGGATGTGGCTTAACTGGTTCAGTAAGAGAGCTGCTGCCAGGGAACCTGCCTGGTGGGTTTTTTGAGATATTTTTCCGTTTCGGATCACTGCCTACCAGTCGTCCTTAAGTGCCTGCCCCCTCTCTTTCTGCAATTGGTAGAAGGAGAAGAAGAGATTGGATTTATACCCCGCCCTTCACTTGGAGTCTCAGAGCGGCTGACAAACTCCTTTCCCTTCCCCTCCCCACAACAGACACCCTGAGAGGTAGGTGGAGCTGAGAGAGCTCTTGACAGAAGCTGCTCTTTTTTTCAAGGACAGCTCTTATCAGAACTACGGCTTGCCCAAGGTAATCCAGCCAGGTGCAAGTGGAAGAGTGGGGAATCAAACCCGGTTCTCCCAGATTAGAGTCCGCACACCTAACCACTACACCAAACTGTACACAACTCCCCACCCATCTCTGTGCCTCTTTGCAGCACGCAGTCTTTGTTCGTAGGGGCTATGAAAGGCTGTTCTCCCAGCCAAACTTCCTTTCCACATCCTTTTGCTCTGTGGCAGTCCACAGTCCTGAAGAAGAAGAGATTGGATTTATACCCCGCCCTTCACTCGGAGTCTCAGAGCGGCTGACAAACTCCTTTCCCTTCCCCCTCCCCACAACAGGCACCCTGTGAGGCAGGCGGGGCTGAGAGAGCTCTGAGAAAACTGCTTGAGAGAACAGCTCTGACAGAGCTACGGCTTGCCCAAGGTCATCCAGCTAACTAACAAAACAATAAATCACCGTGTATGAATACACAACATAAGCAGATATTTATATACAATGCTTTTAGAATTCAATAGTCAGCAAGATTTCAACTATAACATCTTAAATGCGATCTTAGGCTTGGCAGTACATGTGAAACATTACAGTATAGTCTCAGATTTCTAGTATAAGTCCGTTTACGAATCCTTCTTCAGGTTTGTCGTCTGTATTCTTATCTTCAATAGAATAGAGTGCTGCAAGCTGCAATGAAGTGTAACATGCTTACTAATCCAACAAAAAACATAAAAAATAAAATATAAAAGGTCATCCAGCCAGGTGCAAGTGGAGGAGTGGGGAATCAAAGCCGGTTCTCCCAGATTAGAGTCCGCGCACTCAACCACGACACCAAACTGGCTCTCACAAAAGCTTATACCCAGAATAAAACTTCGTTGGTCTTAAAGATCCCCCTGGACTCAAACGTTTGTTCTGTTGCTTCAGACCAACGCGACGACCCACCTGTGTCCCGTGGGTGACGTCATAGCTTTGAAACCAGATGAGTAGTGGGCGCTCTCAGGTAGGGGAGAGTCCGTTTTTATTCAGTAACAAGTGGCTGAAAGCGTTTGACGTGGACGTAACGGAAACAGGTTCCCCAAAGCTGGCTCTTGTTTTCCGCCACATTCCGGCTTGCCATGTGTGGCCGGGAGCCGCGCTTGTGTGTATCCTCGTAACCCCCGTGTCCCTAACCTTTTGGGTCTCGTCCTCTCCAGGCTCAGGTGGCGTTTCTCCAGGGGGAGAGGAAGGGCCAAGAAAACCTCAAGACGGACCTTGTACGGCGGATAAAGATGCTGGAATATGCTTTGAAGCAGGAGAGGTGAGTGGCGTTCATAAGAACATAAGAGAGGCCAGTGTTGGATCAGGCCATTGGCCCATCCAGTCCAACACTCTGTGTCACACAGTGGCCAAAACCCAGGGGCCATCAGGAGGTCCACCAGCAAGGTCAGAACTCCAGAAGCCCTCCACTGTTGCCCCCACAAGCACCAAGGAGACAGAGAATCACTGCCCCAGACATAAGAACATAAGAGAAGCCAATGTTGGACCAGGCCAATGGCCCATCCAGTCCAACGCTCTGTGTCACAAAGTGGCCAAAAATACCAGGGGCCATCGGGAGGTCCACAAGCCCCACAAGCACCAGGAATACAGATCATCACTGCCCCAGATATAAGAACAGAAGCCATGTTGGACCAGGCCAATGGCACATACAGTCCACCGCTCTGTGTCACAAAGTGGCCAAAAATCCCAGGGGCCATCGGGAGGTCCACAAGCCCCACAAGCACCAGGAATACAGATCATCACTGCCCCAGACATAAGAACATAAGAGAGGCCAGTGTTGGATCAGGCCAGTGGTCCCTCCAGTCCAACATTCTGGGTCACACGGGCGGCCAAAACCCAGGGGCCATCAGGAGGTCCACCAGTGGGGCCAGGATACTAGAAGCCCTCCCACTGTTCCCCCCCCCCACAAGCCCCAAGAATACAGGGCATCCCTTGCCCCAGACTGAGAGTTCCTACCTATACCTTGTGGCTAATAGCCACTGAGGGACCTCTGCTCCATATGTTGATCCAGTTCCCTCTTGAAGCCGCCCATGCTTGTAGCCGCCGCCACCTCCTGTGGCAGTGAAGTCCAAGTGTTCAAGTGGGTGAAGGAGTACTTCGTTTTATCCCTTCTAACCTGGCCGCTCAGCAATTTCATTGCGTGCCCACGAGTTCTTGTATTGTGGGAAAGGGAGACAAGTACTTCTTCCTCTACCTGTTCCATCCCATGCACAATCTTCTAAACCTCGATCATGTCACCCCTCAGTCGTCATTTCTCCCAGCTAAAGAGCCCCAAGCGCTTTAACCTTTCTTCCCTGCCTCTGGGTGCGGGGTGCCAGGGTGTTGGGATCAGGTGCGTCTTTGACTGTATCTTCATAAGCAGACGTATGTGGAGGTTTGAGGTCTTCATGGCTGTCCCTGGGTCGTTAGGACGGGGGGCCAAGATCTGCCTTCTGAAAGGGGGTGGAGTTGGGAGCGTGGCGGAGGGGTGCCTCTAGACTCCCCTCTCATTCCCGAGGGCCATCTGGACACAGTCGTGTCCCTTGAAGTCCCCCCCCCCTGTAAAAACACCAAAGGTTGACGGCTGCAGCCGCCACCTTTGTTTCCAGCAACAGTCTGTAAGGTTTCTTCGCTCACTGCAGGTCGAAATACCACAAGCTGAAATTTGGGACCGAACCGAACCAAGGGGAGAAGAAGCCGGACGTGTTGGAACCAGGTATTGGACTCGTGACATGGCAGCCTCCAGTCGGTGGGGGTGGGGAATCCCCCAAGGAACTGGTGGTTGAGAATGTAAGAGCCCTGCTGGGTCAGACTAGTGGTCCCTGTGGTCCAGCATCCTGCCTCGTACGGTGGCCAATCAGTTCCTCTGGAGGGCCCACAACAAGGCAGAGAGGATGAGGCCTTCATGAGAACATCAGAAGAGCCCTGCTGGATCAGACTAGTGGTCCCTCTAGTCCAGCATCCCATCTTACATGGTGGCCAACCAGTTCCTCTGGAGGGCCAACAACGGGGCAGAGAGGCCGAGGCCTTCATGAGAACATAAGAAGAGCCCTGCTGGATCAGACCGGTGGTCCATCTAGTCCAGCATCCTGCCTCACACTGTGGCCAACCAGTTCCTCCGGACAGTCAGCAAGAGGGCATAAGAGGCCGAGGCCTTCCCCTAACGTCGCCTCCTGTCGCTGGGTTTCAGAGGCTTGGCCGCCTCTGAACGTGTAGGTTCCCTTTAGTCACCGTGGCTAGTATCTGGGATGGCAAACAGCGTCCTTGTGCAGCAGGGGACGTCCCCGGGTTGGGCCTGTGTGCCTAAGCATTGGGCTCTGTTTGGCTGTGAAGAGCAGCGAACCACTGAAGGGATAGGAAGGGGGGGGGGGTTTGGAACTCTGACAAAGCCGACAGTGCTGCTGGCCTAGCTGGATCAGTGTCAGATAGTTTCCTATTAAGGAGCCACTGGAAGCTCCTCCTGAAGCTTTTCTAGGCCCTCCACTGCTTTGCAGAACCACGGGAAGGCCTGCCTGACGTTCACAAGCTCCCCCTCAGCCACTCACACGGCCGCGAGGAAGTTATTTCTTTCTTTTTGCCCCCTAGTCTCCAACGGGCCAGGAGAGCCACTTTCCTTGGAAAGCAACCAGTTCATGTGGAAGGAAGGACGCCAGCTCCTCCGCCAGTGAGTACAGAAATCTGGTGGGTGAGCGACACGGGGAAGAACGTTGCAGGCCGCGGACAATGGGCCGGTGGCCCCGGGGATGGGTCTGGCCCCCCGGTCTGCTGGTTGCCAGTCCTTACGTTAAACTGAAGGTCTTGTGTGTCCTGTCCCCCCCCCCTTTGCAGGTACCTGGAGGAAGTGGGCTACACGGACACGATCCTGGACATGCGCTCCAAGCGAGTGCGCTCCCTGCTGGGCCGCTGCTCCATGGAGCTGAATGGTGCCGCCGAACCCAGCGGCTTGGGGACGGGCCCCGCCTCCGGTCCTGCTGGGCTCAACGGGGGCGAGTCCCTCCTCGTCAAGCAGATAGAGGAGCAGATCAAAAGGTGAGCGGTGTCGGGCAGCAGGAGGTGTAGTGGTTAAGTGTGCGGACTCTAATCTGGGAGAACCGGGTTTGATTCCTCCACTTGCACCTGCTGATCTTCATTTCCCCGCCGGCAGGAACGCGGGGAAGGAGGCCAAGGACCGGCTCGGCAACACGGTGATGGAGAAGATCCCCTTCTTGCAAGGCTGCGATGAAGACGACAGCGACGAAGAGGAGGATTTGGAAAGCGCCCCCCTCGAGACGCAGCGGCAGCATAAGAAGCAGAGAGTCAAGGTGCTCCCCTCTCCCTTCTGTGCCCCCCCTCCCTTGCATGGCGTTGCAGGGTGGGAGGGGTTACATGGCCCAGGGGAGTTCATAGGCAGAGGTCCAGGCCACTGAGAGATGTTCAGTTTCCTGGAAAGAATCTGTGGTCTAGTGGTTAAAACAGTGGGTCTAGAGTCTGCCTCCATTCACCATCGCCAGCGAACCGGAATTTGCTCATGGTGACCAGCACAAACCTAGGTTAGTTGGCCAACTCGTAAATTTCTGGTTTCCGGCTTATAGCCATTCGTCACAAAACAACAATCTTTAGTTACGTGTGATCAAAGATAGCTATCCGGATTTGGTTTCCTGTACGTGGCTGCGGTGGCTCAAGTGGTTAAGACGCTGAACTGCAGGCTGTGGAAGGTCAGTAGTTCAGCAGTTCGAGACCCGAGTGTGCCGCATGACGGAGTGAGCTCCCGTCTCTAGTTCAAGCTCCTGCCAACCTAGCAGTTCGAAAGCAAGAAATTGCAAGTAGATAAATAGGTACCACTTCGGTGGGAAGGTAACAGCGTTCCGTGCGCCCCGGTGTTTAGTCATGCCGGCCACATGACCACAGAAATGTCTTCGGACAGCGCTGGCTCTTCGGCTTTGAAACGGAGATGAGCACCGCAACCCTAGAGTCGGATTCGACTGGCTTTCGAGCAAGGGAGACCTTTACGTGGCTACACACACACACGCACGCACAACCAACATTGGGTAACGCTTGATCCTGGGTTATGGAGATGTTTGGGCCCCTAATGTGAGCCAATCCAGATAGTTATCTTTGATGGTCCTGTTTAACAACAAAGGGAGATACTTAATCCTTGTGAAAAATTTTCTCCGTCTGGATGTTTGGTGCTTTGGTCAGATTTGTAATTTTAACAAAAACAGTATATGGTGTAGTAGAAAAGAACAAGAGTACAACAGCACCTTAAAGCCTTTCCAAACTTGTGGCAGGGGAGGAGCTTTCCTGAGTCACTGCTCACTTCTTCAGTCTATGGCAAAAATTTAAATCACCGAGGAAGGCCTCGCGGCCGATACACATTTGATTTTGTTTTGTTCACTTGTATTTTACGCAATTTGTAAATGTACCGAGTCATTAGGAATGATACTTGTAACTGTGTGGCATCCCCTTGTACACAAGTGCAATTTTACTCTCTCTAGTGAGAAATCGCCCATTGTGTCCAGATCAAGGGAGGTGGTAGTTCCACTCTATTCTGCTATGGTCAGGCCTCACCTGGAGTCCCGTGTCCAGTTTGGGGCACCACATTTGAGGAAGGGTGTTGACAAGCTCGAGCGTGTCCAGAAGAGGGCAACCAGGATGGTGAGAGGGTTGGAATCCAAGTCTTATGAGAAAAGGCTGAAAGAGTTGGATATAATGGGTGGAAATTGCAAGGGAGTCGATACTGGCTAAATAAATTGCCGTGTTGGCACTTTGCGATAAATAAGCGGGTTTTGGGTTGCAGTTTGGGCACTCGGTCTCTAAAAGGTTCGCCATCACTGCAACTAGGGGAAGGTACAGATAGGTAGCCAAAGATTACTGTTTTGTGATGAACAGTTTTTAATATTTGGTTAAAGCTTTTGGATTATAATTTTAGGGTTTTTTTGGAATTGACAGTGTTAAATTTGTTTTTGTTTTTTTCTTCAACCTGCTTGGTTACTTAGTCTGTTCAGTGGCGTTTTCTCCCCTGTTTTTATTTGTTCAGCTTCCTAGCTCCACACAGGGGGAGGAAGTCCTAAATCACAGTCCGTTACTGCTTACTCTGTATTTTGGTCTTAGGACTGTAATAATAAAACTAAACGAAACAGTCCATTAATGGCATCTGAATGCAAGCAGCTTGAAGTCTGCTTGTTTCTTTACCAGTAATCAGGGTTCTTAAAGTGAAAGAGCCTTTAATTTGTTAAGGCATCTGTATTTGGTCATTCTCACTAACAGGTTTTAGACTTCTGTCTTAACTTTGGAAATTCTTACGTCACCTCCGGAAGTCTTGCTTCAGACAGCTTACGAGTAAAACCAGTACCATGAAATTTGTCATAACTGATCAATATAAAAACAAACCATTTAAAAACTACCTTGAAATACCTGTAAGACAGACCTCAGACGAGAAGCAGACCATAACACAGCTAAACACGTGAAACTCTTTCAGTTAAAAACAGCGGAAGGCCAGGTTTGTGCATAAGGCCAGGAGAAACAGCGAGATTGCTGCTTCTAGTCCGAACGCTGGCAAGAGGGGAGTTCAGTGGGTTAGTCTAATGCAGGGGTGTCAAACTCATTTGTTATGAGGGCCAGATCTGACATAAATGAGACCTTGTTGAGCCAGGCCATGTGTGTCATAAAATGTAATGCCAGGTAGCGGACATATAAACTTCATAAAGGACACAGACAAACGCAGTTAACTTTCACATTGCTTTCGCACTGGATCATGAGGGCATGAACACAGTGAAAAGGGAAAGGGAACCCAGTTGCACCCAGGAGAGCCCTGGCATAAGGAGCCCAACAAAATACACACACAGTGTTGCAAGGCACACAAAAGCTCATACCTTGAAAAAAACTTTGTTGGTCTTAAAGGTGCTTGGTATTTCTCCTGTGTGATTGAGGCAGCCCAGCAAAGCAAGCTCTCCCTCATTCCCTCCCTCCCTTCAAGGAGGCACCTCAGCCAGTGGAAGGAAGGGTTTCCTTTTGTCTCCTGTAGGATTGAGGTAGCCCAGCCAGTTCCCTCCCTCCCCTTGGGAGGAGGAGCCTCAGCCAATTTGTTTTACTAGACTCAATCATACAGGAGAGGCTTGCCTCTCTATCTCTCCTGTGCGATCGAGAGAGTCTGGTAAAGCAAGCTGCAACGTGGCAGCAGCAGCAGAACTGGAAAAGGAAGCAGGAAACAGCCAGGGCCTTGCATGCCAGATTTCAGCCCTCTGAGGGCCTGATCTGGCCCTTGGGCCACATGTCTAATACCCCTGGTCTAACTAGCTAGGAGTCAGCTCTCAGCAGGAGCAGGAAAAGCCAAACTGAGCCAATCAGGAGACAGGAAGGAGACTATTGGAAAATAGCAGGAAATCCCTAATCTCACTATGCTAGCTAGTTGCCCCCTGTAGGATGTTTTTGTCATCTTCTTTTCTTTGCACGATAGACCTTGCATATTCCAACATAA